CTTTTTTATCAGATTCTTAAAAGACTCGAAGACAAAAAAGCTCAAGGGATGCCTGGCTGGCTCAGTTAAAAGAGTATTCGACTCTTGATCTCAGAGTTGTGAGTTTGAGCCCCACGTTGGGTGTAGAGATTACTTAAAAGTAAATATATAAATGTAAAAAAAAAAGACAAAAAAAGCTAAGAATTGACTTAGGATTTCAATCTTAGGCTAATGCATTAGTTTTTTTTTTTAAAATCTTTCTTAAAAAATAGAGACAAATTCATCTCAATGAGTTGTGCCTTTATTTTGTTATGTGCATGTGGGCATTCATTTCTATTTGATCTCAGACTAATTAAATCCATCTAATTGATGAATAGATGGAAAATGCCTGCCTCGAAAAATTAATTTCATCCCCTTCCTCTCCATCTCTGTCTGCTACTCATTTAAAATTTCTAATCTTCCCACGTCCAAAAAGCATTTGGAATTATATTCTTTCAAGACATATCAAATGCCTCCTCCTTTGTGAACTCTCTCCTGAATGTAATCATGCCTTCCTCTGCAATACCACAGCCATATCCTGTCAGAGTGAGTCTGTACTTCTTCCAGCATTTGTCTTTTCTTCTTGTCATCCTTTCACCCTTGCCTTTCCCTAGGCATTAGTTTGTCACTTCCAAGTGAGGATGTGATGGGTATTGACTTGCATATCACAGGCCCAAGAACTGACAATGTCTTTTTCATGGTGGTGACTCAATAAATGTTTGAATTAAAGTAGGGAACAGGGGATCCCTGGGTGGCGCAGCAGTTTGGCGCCTGCCTTTGGCCCAGGGCGCAATCCTGGAGACCCGGGATCGAATCCCACGTCGGGCTCCCGGTGCATGGAGCCTGCTTCTCCCTCTGCCTATGTCTCTGCCTCTCTCTCTCTCTGTGTGTGTGGCTATCATAAATAAATAAAAAATAAAAATTTAAAAAAAATAATAAAGTAGGGAACATCTTTGTTCCATATACTATGAAATTAAAATTATAGTCTCAGAGTTAGTCCATTTTTTTCACTTATTATTTTTTAGGATCTTAAAACCATTGGTACATCCAAAGTAACAGCATGTTTTTATTTTCCAGTACTGCTGAATTAGGACCTTATTTTCAAATATATCATGATAACTTGAAATGTGAGCCTGTGGTTGCCATGTTTGATTGGGGGGCATTCTGAGTTATAGTGCCCGTGACTAGAGCCATGAAATGTCAGAGCTGGCCAGAACTCAGGTCTAGTTCAGTATGTTTTTTGGAGCCTCCAGAGCTTCATTGAAATTATTTTGGGGACCTGGGTGGGAGTTGGGCCAGCCCCGCTCTCTAACCAGAGCAGCTCTGTTTTTAGTTGTTTTATATTAGAGTTTTGGAATAAGTTGAAATTTGCTGAAAAAGTGTTCTGTTGAAGTTAACCAAACTCTCCTCTCATCCCTCCTTGGCCAGTCTCTCATTTTATACCTAAGGACATTGAGGTCCAAAGCTACTGTGTAGTTGTCTCAGATTTTATGCTCAGGACAGCCCAGCTAAAATTAGACTTAGTTTTGACTGTCCTGATTCCTGGCCCAGAGTCTCCTCCTATTTAGCTGTCCCTCAGATTTTCCTCCACTTTGTAGGTATCATTAGGGGATCAAGAAGCATTGAGTGGGAGCTGCATCAGGTTATGGGGATGCAAAAAGGGGTGAGCATGATGTTGAAACTTGCTTCATGGACAATAGTAGTTGACAGTAGCCACTGGTACCCATATCTCCTCCTTTAACTAAAATTGGTGCTTTCCATATAATTTTCTAATGCATTATACACAAAACAGCATACATGGTGGGAATGTTTTAAAATTAGGTTATGTTGGGACCCCTGGGTGGCGCAGTGGTTTGGCACCTGCCTTTGGCCCAGGGCGCGATCCTGGAGACCCAGGATCGAATCCCACGTCGGGCTCCCGGTGCATGGAGCCTGCTTCTCCCTCTGCCTGTGTCTCTGCCTCTCTCTCTCTCAATCTGTGACTATCATAAATAAATAAAAATTAGGTTATGTTGATGGTCATACTTATTAAAACTATTCAAACCGTACAATTAAAATGGGTGAATTTTCTGGTATAAAAATTATATGTCATTAAAGCTGTTTTTTTTTAAAAAAGGCAGGGTATTACTTGCCCTCCTTAACTAATGGGGAAACTGGGCAGAAAACAAAATGGCCCTGTGAAACATTTTAAAGGCATACTAGTACTTTTTTAAAAATATTTCCTTACTATATTGGTTACAAGTCACTTCCATAGTCATTTATTGAGCCCCTGCTATGTACCAGTTCCTGAGGTAGCAAGGGAAGAGATAGGGGGAGAGCGAGTGACACAGATGCATAGGAAGTGGCTTTTTGAGTGGAGGCAGGTCATAGTCGTGTGTGTGTGTGTGCGTGTGTGTGTGTGTGTGTGTGTGTATACACACGCACAGTTTCAGGGGAGGTAAGTGGAAGTATCCTCTTTTACCAAGTTCCTTCATGTCAGAGTACCTTCTGCTTTGAGTGATCAATACCTATGCAGCCATAAAGTAGTGGTAAGCAATACAATTTTACGGAGTCAGATAACAAGGAATCCAGAGACAGACCCCTTGATGTTGATTAATTTGACAGACATCTCAATGGTGTCAAGAATTGAGAGTCCTCTCCTCTGTGATTTCCTTGGCTTTCCTCTCATGGTTGAACTATGACTATAACTGTGCCAAACATTGTACTGTCTTCCAACAAGGATGAAACAGTGTTAAAAGCAGAAAGGCAGGGGCAGCTATTTTCCTCACAACTCTTTTTTTTAAAAATCAGGGAACAAAATCTAACAGCCTTCCTCTCCTCCTCAAGCAGATTTCCTCTCACATCTCATTGGCTGGAACTAGATCACATGCCCACCCCTAAACCAATCACCAACAAAAGGGAGTGAAATTAACATTATTTGCCTTGACAAATCTCACTCATCCTACTGCAGACAGCCATTCCCAATGCCCAAATGCAATACCTGAATGCAGCAGGATTATATGAACTGAGAAGGGGATGGGGAATGTTTCCTGTGAACCAATGTCTACCACACTTAGTTTTTTGGATGGAAAGGATTAGAAACAATGTTTGTTTTTTTCCTTTGTTGACCACAGGTGTCCTATCTTGTTTGTAAAATATTTCCATGATTTCAATCCAATGAATTATTCTTCAAACTGGGACTCTGGCAGGGCAGTTCTTCAATAATGCTATACTTATTTCAGTGTTGTAAGTTTTGAGGTTGGGTTGTCATATTTCACTAGCACAGTCAATAGGAAAGTTGGAAAAGAGCTGTCATTATCCAATTTAACGATGTTTAACTTTTCCCATCCTTTTAGAATATTTGGCTGATTCAGGATTTGGGAGGCTTGCTATTACTAATTAAAGAGAGATGGAACATTAGTAACTCTATGGACCTGGGAATCTTTAGGCAGATTAATATTGATGGGATTTAGAACTAGTGTCCCTCAGCATGGCCTGATCAGCAAAAGGTATCAGGGGCCCAGAGTACCTAAGATGGAAGGTTTCCAACACGAGGGGAGGGGATGTAACTGATATACTCTGTCCATTGGACAGAAAGCAAAAACATTCACACAGAAAGTGAGTCCCTCTCTTTTCCTGCCCCGTTTCCCTCTCTCCTCCCTGCCCTTCTGTGGTACCCTAGACCACAATGTGTCTGTATTACAGATTTTTTATTGCCTTTATTTTATACATGACTCTCTTTGATTGATGTGACATTAACCATAATACCCCCTCCCCACATTTCAGTCATATAAATTGTACTAGGGACAATATAATTGATACTTGTGTATATAGCTCTAGGTTATGATCTGTCTGCAGGAACTGATCTGATCCTTGGGAAATATCTAAGGTCATTCAAAGCCATTAGGTTTGTTGACTTAGCTGCAGAATAATAAATGCCTGTCCCAGGAGATAGTAGTTCTCTTGAAGTTTTCTTTCAACCTTTAGTTCTAAGTCATCAAACCCCAGTTTTCCAAGTCTTACTTCCCTGGGTACCTGACAAATGTTTTTGCTCTCTTCTAAATTGATGCTTTTGTGTAAATAGAGAAGATTTAACATCAGGTAGACTTTCTTTTTTAAAGTTTATTTATTCATGCAATCTCTACACCCAACGTGGGGGCTTGAACTCACAAACCTGAGATCAAGAGCTGCACACTCTTCTGACTGAGCCAGCCAGGCACCCCTGACATCAGGGGTCCATCAGATGGACTTTCAAAAGCATATAATTGTGGGCATATCTGAACTGATTTTTAGTGGCTGTAGTGTTTTTCTCTCTTAGGTACACATCCTTGCTGATGAACATCCCCACCTAAATAGACAGGTTCCCACAGAGACACCATGGGACATATTTGAACAAGTTTGTCAGTTTATACACATGTGTATAAAGAACATTTAGTTGGTATTTGTTGGCTGTTTGTAGTTGACACATGTTCATATACAAATATCTTTCTTGTGAGATGTACCATAATGAAGTCTCTTTTTTTTATTGTTTTAAGTACCATATTAGCTTTGTAACATACACAGATACCCTGTTTCTGATTTAGTGATGTGTGGAATAAGACAGTGAGGGCCGAATTTAAGCTTTCTTCTCTTTGTAAATGTCTGCTTTTGCGTGCACCCAAAGAGTATATGAAATGGTATATAAAATAAAGTACATCAAATATACATCCAAGATCAAGGAAACCATTTGCTTTTCTGCCTGAGAGAGACACAAAGCAGTCAGTGACATTTGATGACATCACATGGTTTGTGAGGGAGGGAAAATGAAGAGAATACATAAGCATGAGCCCCAAATGAGCAATCTTAGGTAGTTTCCTGAGGGTGACTCTTTCTTTATGCAATCATTATTATATCCTATCTGTTAAGTGCTTTTTCCTGAAGTTGATGTGAGAGAGAACATCTTTTCCTGGGCCAGCTCATTAGGTGAAGCACTGTAAAGGTTGTGTTTTCTTTTCTTCTTACAGCCAAGGATTACTGCAAAGTAATATTTCCATATGAGGCACAGAATGATGATGAATTGACAATCAAAGAAGGAGATATAGTGACTCTCATCAATAAGGTAAGCAGACTTCCTTCCTGCCTTTTAAACTGCAAACTGGGGCAGCCCGGTGGCTTAGCGGTTTGGTACCGCCATCGGCCCAGGGGTGATCCTGGAGACCCAGGATCAAGTCCCACGTCGGGCTCCCTGTGTGGAGCCTGCTTCTCCCTCTTCCTGTGTCTCTGCCTCTCTCTCTGTCTCTCTGTGTCTCTCATGAATAAATAAATAGAATCTTTAAAAAAAGTAAAAATAAACTGCGAACTGCTTCGAGATGTTGACTGAACACTACAGCTTTTGTTTTAGGCCTCAAAACACTTGATTTTCATTGCCCGAACTTCGGAGGAAGAATCTTGCATCTTGCCTCTTGATCAGGCTAAGCCCAGCGTACCCAAGTGAATGAACTAACTTGGAAACTGAGTAGTTCTGTTGGCCTTAGCACCAGCTGCAGATTGGCATGGCCCGGGGGAAAGCTCCATCCCTGAATGGCTAACCCAGAAGGTGGCCTTCTTGGCTGGAGAGCCTGCCCTGCACAGCAGCCCTGGCTGCAAAGCTGTGTCATGAGGCATCCAGAGGGGCTTTAAAAGGGCAGGTCATGCCTCACAGGCAGCAAATGCGTAAAGAATGTGCGCTGTTCAGATCAAAGACAGGTAGCATGCCTGAGAGAATTTTGCTTGTCTTGTCTGGACTAAGAAGGTTGGATGATTTTATTATCATTACAGGCAGAGCCCTGTAAACATACGGAGAGCTATAAAATCTGTGTGAAGTGATACAGCTTAACAGGGTCTGAACTGTGTAGTATTTATGTTTTCATGCAATGGTACTCACCAAGTAAGTGGTTGAAAGATATCTTATTTAAATAATTCCTAGACTATATGGTGTTTTATCTGAGATACAGGATTCTCGTGATGGTCAAATATGGTGAAAAGCTGACCCATCTTTGAGATGTGTAAAGTGGCTTTATTCTGGGGTCCAAGTAAGTGTCAGGGAACTCGTGATGCTCTTGGCATAAGCGTGACTTGGGGATCATCATGGCTGTCTGTGCTCATGCTGGGCTGGAAAGCATTGGCAGGGTGGAGAGTGCAGGGAAAGGGGAGAGAGAGAAGAGGGGTTCAGGGTCTCGCGCGTGTGGCCATTACTGAGAGGGACAGGATCACAGTGTTTGCCTGCCCCCCCTCCACCCCCATGAATGTCCCTAAAGTGATGGGTACGATTCACCTTTATACTACCCGACACTTACCTATAAGAAGTGTTGTAGAAGTTGTACATTTTAAGACCCCGAGCCAAAGATGCCAGGGAATTAATGACCACAGAGGTCAAGCAGCTTACCAAAGATCAAAACTAGTTTAGGGAAAGAACTGGCCTTATCCATACAACAGTGGTATGCTAGACAATGCTAAGAGTGCCTTTCTGGAATAGCAAACTCTTCCCAGCTCTGCTGAGGGCCCAAGAACTTGCCCATCGTTTTTCCCTGTGAGCTGTTCTTCTGCATTCATTTTAGCATATCTCTGTTTTTACGTGGCTGGAGGAAATCAGAGCAGGGTAAGATGTGGCCCTTATTGTTCCTCTCTGCCAGGGAGGCAGAAACCGTTCTTCTCTTTCTTTACCACCCCTCCGCTCATCCTGAAGCAGGCTGCTTCTGGGCTGTGTTTCCTATTTTGAACCATAGCCTTCACCAAACACTCAGAATAAAGAAGTTGTTAAATAGGTATAAAGCATAATTACGAATATTTCAATCATTAGCGCAGGTACTTGGTTCTAGTTCTATAGGGAAAGGGGTGGATCGCTTCTCCCTGCAATGGTTAAGCAACCAGAGAGCTCAATAAACCATTCTTTGCAATGGGGGGGGGTGCACTTTACCGTTTTTGTTTTTCTTTATGTTCAGAGGGGGCAGCCTCTTTTTAACTGAAAAGCAGATGTGTCAATAATATTTAATAAAGTTTGGGGAAAAGAAAAAACCACCACAGATGGTCTCTTATCTAAATACATCTATTTCTACCTTAATATATTATATTCCTATTCTTGTCATTTGATTACATATGATGAGAACACATTCATCTTGATGTTTTTGTTCCTACCAGGTTGAGATCCAGTCTGATAAAAAGAACTGAATTTTTCAAAAGAGCTTGGTCAGAAAGAATCTCTTTCCTGGTTCCCTCCTCCATGCACATGGTCGGGAGGAAGGAACAGACAGGTGTGGAAGGCTGCTTTCAGGAGGGTCTAGGAGATGGTGCCCTACATCCCTGCTTTTAGAGCTTCATGCATTTAGACGCAGTTTAGAAACTGAAGCAGCTTATAGATGGTATTATTACATTTGCAAAATGTGACTTTGTTATCCTTGCCTTACACTGGACCCCTTGACCTGGCTTAAGCCCTGCTCTGGCTCCACAGGCCTAGAGCACCTGGGTCGTTTTGACACTTGCTCCCTCTCGTTCAGCCCTGCCCCGGCTTGCAAGCCCAGCAGCACCAGAACCTAGCACCTTCCTGTGTCCCTGCCACTTGTGTCCATGAGAGAGCCAGGCCCAGGCTAGAGTTCACACCTCCTCCCTCTCCCAGCACCTTCCACGGCACCTGCTTTGGAGAACCTTGGAGTGGCCAGGGGTAGAGGGATGCTAGCATCCCAGCCCCCTCTTTTTATCATCCCCTCATGGTGCTTTGCTCATGGGACCCCTCTGCTGAAAGTCTTTAGCAACTTTCCTTTTCCTCTCCTTTATTGTCAAATCCAGCTAGATTCTCCTGGCACTCATTTGCCCAGGTACTCTGGCCTCAGTCTGGCTTTCTGGCTTTGATCCACATTGCTGTTCTACAACGAGCTCTCCTGGGATGTCCCCATCCTGCTCGTGTATCCTCCTGACCCGACCGAGACCATGTTGCTGCTGCCCCAGGTGCCCTCTGCCAACCCACTTAGCTGGCTTTTCAATAGCTAATAAGACAGCCAGTCTTAACGCATGCTATATTATGTACCTGGGCCTATTTTTAGCTTGCTACTTAAAAATGTCCCCTGTGCACTATCAATTTTGTTTTTTTATTATTATTTTATATGGTCTGTGAAATCAGGTCTCTTGATACCCTGTCCTTCTGCAGGTTTTGACTTTTATTCCCATAAAGTATCTGCCAGCCCTGACCTAGCATTCCACTTGGTTGGAAGCATTTTATAATTTTTTAAAGATTTATTTATTTATTTATTCATTCATTCATTCATTCATTCATTCATTCATTCTTTCATGAGAGACGCACAGAGGGAGAGGGGCAGAGACACAGGCAGAGGGAGAAGCAGGCTCCATGCAGGGAGCCCGATGTGGGACTCGATCCCGGGACTCCAGGATCACGCTCTCGGCCGAAGGCGGCACTAAACCGCTGAGCCACCCAGGCTGCTCTGTTGGAAGCATTTTAAAATGACAAGTGCCATGTAGGCTACCAGCTCAGGGAAACCAGGTTTGAATCCCAGCAATGCCATTCATGGCTGTGTGTCATCACGTAACCTCTCTGATCCTCAGTTTCCTCAGCCAGAAAGCAGACCTCACAGAGCTGCCATGGAGATTTGCTAAGGTGCTGTGTATACACAAATTGTCACTTCAACCTTGCCCACTCTTTCTCTGACCTCAGAAGTGGGGAAGGACGGGCTCTCGCTAATGGGCCCAGTTTGCTGCTAGGGCAGGAACACTGTGAGAATGAGGTGGGTAACGGTGGTGGAAGATCTGTCTGAAAATAGCTCAGAATTCACAATGGGTGAGGTTTCAGCAAGAATTTGGAGGAAAAAATATGCCACATGCATTTTGCTTGCTAAAAAGTGGGGGGAAATGGAGTCGGAGTCTGCCAAACCCTGCTGACGTTATAGAAGATTCTTAATTCTTCCTCTGAGTTAAAGGATCTCCTAGAAATTTATTTAGGTGAATATGTGCTGTTGATATTATAATGAGAAGAGCTTCACTATGATTTGTTTAATGTGTATTTCGATACACTTCTTTATTGTATGTATGAGTTGAGATGAAAGACCTGAATCATTGTCTAAATTCAACTGCGTTGGCTGTAGAGGTTCTCGATTTACCCCAAATTCCACTGGTGTTTTTCTCTCAGAGTCAGCTAAGGTGGTTTCCCTTTGTCCTGTTTTTCTGTGCTGTGGCAGGAGTCACAGGGCAGGCGCTGCCCTCATTTTTAGCCCTAGATTGTCATTTCGTGTAGCTTTCTAGAAAGTGAGTCAGACACCCTTAGTGGGTGCCTGTAAGCCCTCCACGGTTCCTGAAATAATGTGCAAAGACCTGAACTATTTGTGTGTGTCCCTGGAAACTAGGATGAAATGTGGCAACCCAAATGGTTTGTTTTTTAGTTTATTTATAAAGAATTCTTGTGGATTTGGGAACATTTCCACTTGCACAGAACACACCTGTGTTTAGCTTTTATTTCCAGTCACTCAAAAATAGCTCCTTCATCTGTGTTCTGCCGCCCCCATCCCTGCCTTCGTGATTTGTGCTCAGAGCATGGTTGAAAGGGCTCAGAAGCCTCTGGGTCTGATTTCCATCCCGAGAAGCTCCCTGGAGAAAGGCTGAGAGCAGCCTGGTGCAGACCAGGCCAGGCTGTGGCTGTAACGGTGGCCACCCCCGGGCACTCCTTGCCCTGACTGCTGCCGGCAGGGGGGTGGGGAACAAGCCCTGCCGAGGAGAGGCCCGAAGTTCCTGCCCTTGGCCCACAGCCTCCAGGCCTCCGCCCCCCTACCCTGGAAGGAAGGGCTTCCCAGCGCCACTCCTTATAAACAAGGATCTTTAAGTATGGGTTTCTTATGAAAACGCTCCCCTGAGTAGCTGTGTCTTTGACTCCTAACGAAGCAGACACAACCCACCCCACCCTTGCTGCTTCAGGGGCCTAAGCCTCTTGGACAACATGAAGGTAAACACTAAGAAAGATAACGTTATTGGTAAAAATCATGGAGCAGTGGAGATGGAAGGAAGGGGAAGGTAACTGACAGATGCACCTGAAAGAAGGAGGGAAGCCAGAAGATTAGATAAAGGTAGAAATAGAGGAAAAAA